TCCAACAGTACTTATTATCTCCTAAAATTCTTTATAACATGTTTATGTATTATATTTACTATAAATCTCCTCTCTCCCATCTCCAACATCTCCCATGCAAGCAGTATTTTATCTGTTTGGTCACTGCTGTACCTAGACACTCTTGTTTAAGTACTCAATAAACACTGGTTGAATGAACAAAATCCTAGACACTAAGTAAATAAATTGTTTTAAGAATTGAGTAATCAACTGCGTCAACAGATTAAAGGATATTCTGACAGGTTTAATGAATTTAGGCAAGGACCTTGGGGCACAGAAATAATTCCAAGTATAGAATCACAGAACCAGTGCTGATGGTCTGAGTGGTACCCCGGGAGACAGGGTAAAACACCTGAGAGCAAACGCCCTGATGTTCATAAAAGGAAAGAAGGTGAGTTACAGAAATTGGACGAGTTTGGAATTACAGGCAAAATTCTAGAACAGATTATTTTCAATAGTTTGTGAACAGTTAGGATCTTCCTGGCCTCTGACAACAAAAAAGTCACATAGCCTTTTGCTTCTTTCCTAACTGGGTGACTCACTGACTTGAATGAAGAAATGATAAATTTGGCTCAAGGTCAAGAGACCTTGTTTCTAAGGGTTATTTGTAAGCTGTCCAGGATGAGAGTTTTTAAAAAGGCTGGCAGAGAAGGGAGGAGAGGGGCTTAAAAATGAAGGGATAGGAGTAGAAGGATTACTGAACAAATGCCTAGTATTGCCCACTGCTGGCCTGAGCATGCCCATCATGGGGAGACAGGAAGAAGGGATAACTGTGTCAAAAGGATCGGGACTTGGGGGACACCAACAAGAGATCTCTCAAGTCTCTTCTAGGGCATATGATGAAATATAGGGGGGACTGTCACTAATGGTGGTGAAGGCAATCTTCGTTATCATCATTGTCACTATCAAAACAGCAGCTAATCGTTTGGGGGGAGCTTTAACTATTTTGTTAGAAATAATTTTAAAAGACTGACATTTTCAAAACAACTCTATGAGGGACGAACTATTATTATCTCTTTTTGCAGACGAGAAAAGCACAGAAAAGCTGAGTAGCTGTTTGAGATCATACAATTAACAGGTGGGAAAGCTGGTATTCAAATTCAGGTTCCAGGGTCTGTTCTTGAGCCACAGTCCAGGTTCATAGTTAGAAAAACACATGCATTTCTGAAGTACTGAATAACACATGGCTGTAGTCTCAGAGGGAGTCTTGAGAGGTATGCCCGCCAAATTTCCAACTTTGTCCTGTCCTGTTGAGCATTTAAAAAAATGACATATATATAAAGAAATTAAAAGATGGTGTATAAATTCAAGAATCACATGGATTTTGGAGAAATGGCTACATTTTCTGATGACAGAATGAGGATTCAAAAATATCTCAATAGACTGAAATGATGAGCTAAAAGTAGCATTAAATTTAATGGGTAAATGTGAAATCCTGAAGTCAAAAAAAACCCCTACAAATACAGTATAGGAAAGATAAGACTGGTTTCAGTGAGTATTTCTTCTGCTTCCTTACCGTCTGCAGTCAAGCAGCAGCTGTGTCCTGCAGAGGCACCCCCCTCACATCCCTGGGTCTGCACTGCCCTCACCGTCTCCGCAGCCCCTCCTCCGACCCGGCACCCATCGCCTCTCTCCCCTCTACCTGCAGACTCTTGCCTTCTAACCCATCTTACGCAAAGCTCAGGAAACCCCCCCTGATGCCCCGGTCTGCCCCTGGCACTACTCCTCGTTCACTCGCCTTCAGGGGCTCCCCACCTCCTGATCTAAGAAGGCCCAGAGTTCCTTGGGCCTGGCATTCCAGATCCTCCATTTTGGCTCAGCATTCCTTTCCCAAACCCAAACATTCATTTTTTCCTTCCTTTTCCTACTCTTTCCCACCTCCTTGGCATTGCTCTGGCTTCTTCCTCCCTTAGCTCCTTAATCCTGACTGAGTCCTCCTCACTCTTCACACTGCCTGTCGTTCACCAAGCCTTTCTTGTCCTCCGTGAGTAACTTCTTCCCCCTGGAGCATGTCTACCTATCTTAACCATACTGCCTTTCATGAATTAATGCGCTGGATACATATGTGCTGTTCCTTTGTCCCCTATTTCCCTTTCTGTCCTCTACCAAGAAGGTAAGCTCATGAAAGGTCTAATCTGTGACTGACGTCTTTGTTCCCATGGGATCCCGGATCTGGTAAGTGCTCAATAAACACCTGACAGATGCAAGGATGGGATATCAAAAGAGGCACTATGTCCGGCACTGGGTCCTATGCAAGGAAGGTGAAGGTTTTGCTGAAGTACAAAGAGCACCCCTGGCACACTGGGCTCTGTTTTTAAGATAGATACTTCCGGGCTAACGGGCAACAGAAAAAGAGGACTGATGGTGTGCAGACCCAGGACATATTAGAAACTGAGACTGTTCAGTCTAGCGGGAGAAAAAGACTAAATGGACCACAGTGGACTTTCATGTACAAGGATTAAACTGATCTGGAACCACCCCAGAAAAAGGGCTATGGCCAGTGGCTAGGGGAGTGTCATTTCAAAACAGGAAACTGCTCGGCAACGACCAGTCTGCTTCGCAGGTGTAGTGATCTTCCCATCACTTGGCATGTGGAGGGGCAAGATCACAAATGCTGAGGAAGAGATCGCCTACAGTAAGTAAGATGCCAATCTATATGAAGCTAACTGATTTCTTTCAAAATACCAAGAACAACAATAATATAAAAATGGTCAACAGTGGAATTTAGTTTGTAGAGTTGACTTTACCTTCTCTTAGGTAGGTTCTGTAACAGCTCTATAATAGTTAATATTCACCAGCATTATTATTTGTTAGAAATTACTGGATGGCCATAATGAAATATATAAAAAAAGAGGACATGACTTGCTTTTTAAAAATAGCCTTAAAATTCAGCTAGTTAAACATAAACTTAATGTAAATGTAAGAGAAAATGTTAGTTAACTGCACTGACTTTAAAATATTTTTAAAAATTTTAATACTGATGTTTTAATACTTAAAATATGCTATATGGTTCTCATTTGGTAGATGTGACATTGCTACAGTCCCTCTGGAGTTTGGTTTGGTAAAGGTGCACATGTTACACTCTATGGCTCAGGTGTTCCAAGCTTAGACACTGACCCAAGAGCAATGGCTTTAACATTTCGTGTGTACACTTTAAAGGAACTTTGAAAAACCCTATTCTCCTTCCCACACTTTTAAATTGACAGTATTTTCCAGCATGGGTTTAAATGGCTTCAGAAGATATTATTTTTGACATATATCAAATGTTGAAAAGATGAACACTTTAAAATCACTATTTTAAGTGTATCCAATGGAATCTCAATGCCATGGGGATTTGCTATCCACCGTTATGCGTCTAACACACATAGGAATAAGCTCTTCTTTACCAGCTGGATATTTTTCATTTTTCTCTTTGAATTACTATTTGTTTCATTTCCTCAGTGAATTTTATCCTAGTGTAATATATGTTTATACTTGAAGGTATTTTATTGATTATACGATGGAAGCATTCTGCAAAAAATTATTTGTACAAATTAAAATCTGAAAAATTGAAATTAAAACTGTTACCATGAGACTAAATATTTTTGTTTGAATTGCCTTTATAATTATTACTTGGTACACAATTTATTATAATGTAATTTCTTATTATGCCTATGACTGCAACACACTCAAATGTTATAATTTTTGATGAATAATTATTGGACAAAACAAAGTAAAATGTTACTGGGAGTACATCCTCAGTGAAATGGTTTTTTCTTTAATTGGTTCATGCAACTGTGTTTCAATAATACTTATTGCTGGAATGAAGGAGGTGAAGCACGAATCTGTGTTATATTCTTCTGCCAGATTAATCTTCCCTAACACTGTTTCCTAGGTCACTTATAATGACTCCTTATCATCTACTCTGCAACATTTAAATGTCGGAGTCTTATTGGTGAAGACTGCTTGTAATTTGTGCTTACTTTTCCTAGCCAACATTATCTACTACTACCTTCTACAAGGAACTGTGTTCCAGCCTGACTTTCTCGTCATTTCCCCTCAGTATCAGGTCACTATGATAATACTCCCCAGCATGTCTGCAATGCCCTTATTTATTCTACTCCCCTCAGTCTCATCTTCTCTCTACCATCACACACCTCTCACCTTCTGTGAACTCTTTCCCACCTCTGATCACCTTTTCTCTTTCTCTCTCTTCCATTTTATCCCTTCTGTTCTTGTCTCCTATATTGTACAAGCAGTGCCGGATGATGTACTCTACTTACCTGTCCTTAATAATACACTACACAAAATTTAGTATTTTATTCCCTGTTTCCAGTCTTGCCAACCAGGCCATAATTTGTTCCTAATTTGTTTGTTTTATTAGCTTTTTATGAGAAATGCTATGAATCTTTTCCATCAACTCGAAGGGATTTTTGAACCCAGAGAAAAGAAAGCAGAGGGAAAAGTAATAGGTTTTCAAGTTCATAACAACAGTTTTTCATTTCCAGTGATGTCCAAAACAGGTGTAACTGTCCTTTCATGACAGTAGGAAGATTACAGATCAAACATCAGGGGAACATATGTGTAAGAAATAAAAAGAAATCATGTTATAGATGACTAAGGATTACTAAGAGTTCAAAATCTATATAAGATCTTGTAGGAGCACAAGATGACTTGTCAAAGTCTGCCGTTTTTCCCTGAGCAAGACAAACCCTATGATTCTCTGCTTCCATGCAAATCAAGGCTGACACCTCACCTATGCCAGCCACTGGCACTCCTAAGTGGCTCTGTCCCTTCATCCCTGTCTTTCTCTCTGTTGGTATGATGACACAAGCATCTAGGAGACTACTTCTGAGGCACATGTACTCATCAGGCCCCATGGCCACCTGAAAGGTGGTCCTTTTCCACAATGGCGGGAGGTGAGGCTGGGACAGCAGCATCACTGCCTCACACAGTCGTCAGGCGCTGCAGTGCCTTGGCACAGCCCCCAGCAGAAGCCCCACCTGTAAGCCGCAGTGCAGGTGTCCTTGTACTCCTGGAGTTTCACACACACCATGTTGAGGAACTGGTCTGAGTAAGCACTCAAGTCGCGCATTAGGTTCATGAGGTCCTGCACTGTTTTCTCCACAATAATTGTACTCTGGAAGAGAACACAGAATTTCATGAGTATTTTTTACTCAAGGAAGGATAACTGAAAGGAAGCAATCACTTAAGACTTCAGCTTTCACTCACAATATAGGCAGGTCACGGGGAAGGCAGTACAGCACAGAGAAGACAAGTAGTGGCTCTACAGCATCTTACTACGTTGATGGACAGTGACTGCAAGGGGGTGCGTGGGGGGGACTTGATAATATGGGTGAAAGCTGAAACCACAATGTTGCTCATGTGAAACCTTCATAAGATTGTATATTAATGCTACCTTAGTTAAAAAAAAAAAGATAAGCTTTCATGGGAGGATGGGACATTTAAAGTGACAAAACAAATCTCTTACATCGTGTTTGCCTTCCAGAGACCTGGAAAGTGTTCTATGGGGAAGGGCATAGACCAGGGATTTTCAAATTGGTTTCATGGAATTCTTGGCATCCACAAGATACCTCTGTGGCTTTTAAGAAAGGAAATGGGTATTTAGTTGGAGTCTGACTCACTTTGAGATTAGGGGCCAGGCAGCACAAAGAAAAAGCCTTCCGTGAGTTGTTGAACAATTTTTTTTAAACCATCAATCTATTAAGAATGCAACTAACATTCGTATTGTGCCTTACAGCTTGCAGACTGTTTTCACATACACAGCATATGTTATCTCACTTGACATTCACATAATAATCAGATAATCATGAGCATTTATTAGATTCTTACAAGTGCAAAGTACAGTGCTAGGTATTCTACATGCTCCATCTCACTTAACCCATTCAACATGCCAGCCCATCAGGGGAATCCCATAACCATCCTCAGTGTAAAGAAGAAGAAATCGGCTTAGAAGAAGGAAGTGAACAAAGCAAGGGCTCCAGGCTTTGTCCTTGGAACACCATCCACCCTCTGCGTCCCAGCCAGACTCGAGAGCTCTTGAGGGTGGGTAGCCCAAACATTTTCTCATGTGATCGCAGTATTTCCTATTGCTGGTGCCGTTGCGGAAGCAGGATCCAAATAGACTCAGACATATTGTTAAAATTGAATTAAAGGAATATTCAAGGGAGAAAATAATAAGCCCATCTCATAGCTAGAGACCGACAGTGCTGTGCGGCTACTCAGTGTTATGTCTGAACACAGGCATATTCAGTACATTCTAGACCTTTCATTAAGGAAAGACTGAGTTGTTTAAATCATTAGTTCTTGCCTCTTTCAAGAGGAGGAGAATTACACTGGAGTAAATACTAACCACATGCTGAGCTGCTTGATGTCCCTTTGGTCAACTGGTTTGTTGAATATGCATTTATTCACATATAATTACATATACTATGGTAGACTTGGCCATAAAAGTAAACCTTAAAAAAGAAAAATTTTTTCCCAGTCTGACAGTGACCCATGAAAGAATCAATGGCATTTTATCATGCTTAAATGCAGACTCTGGGATACAGGGTTTTGGCTAATTTTTTTTCTACTGAAAATAAAAAGAATGGATAAAAATCTATAGTTTTTCTCAACACAATGGAGTATCAGCTTGAGTTATGAGTTTACATGTGCACGCTTATGCAAGATTATTTGATGTAGAGGTTTCTTATCTTCTTTTCCTCCCCCCTCCCACCCCTGCAGTAAAATAATCAGAAGGTGAAATGGAAGGAACAGAGGAAACCAAATTACAGTCTCTGTAGAATCCCCACAAGTCCCACTTCCTCTCCTGTATTGATTTTAAGATTAAAGCACTGCAGCTTCACCCTGATCCATAATCCCATTCCTCTGTACTTGTGTGTGAGTGACAGGAATTGATTCTGCATAGCTACAGCTGTCCCCATGCTGGTAAGAAGAACCTAAAATCCTCATCCTGATTCAGAACACTGGGTATCCTACAATATGTGGGCAGCAATTAATAAAGGAGAGCGGCGCACAGCCATCCTAACAAAGCCTGTTTAAAATCTAAAACTGCAGGGAAGCTGAGCATGGGGAGACCGCTGGGATTATTGAGAGATAGGGCCTGGTTCTATTCCCAATTACGCTATTGATAATCAACTCTGGGGCAGGGTGGGCAACCTCTTCCTTTCTCATGACTCAATTTAGTCTTCTAATAAGCAAGGATAATTTGGTGGCCCCTCCGCTCTAGTGGCCCTCATCGCTCAGGTATATTCAGTCAGGGCACTGTTGCTTCTCACTTGGGGACCACTGTGTGGCTGCTCTCAGGGGGCCTCAGGTGGTTTGGTCTTCCCGGTTAGATGCTCAGCTTCTCAAAGCGAGCCCGGCATTCTTCTTGCCCTTCTATCCATCTCCCATCCTTCCCCTCCCCAGCTTGTTTATAATTTCTCAGGATCTTCAGGACAATACTAAGAATAAAAGAAACAGTACTACTAATGTTAATACACGTTCATAAACTTCTTTAAATGTCAGTATAAGGGAGGGATGCCAGACACAGACATCTGTGCATTTTGAAACCTTTTTGGGTTTGTTCAGTGTGGTCTGTATTCAGCCCAGTGCTCTCAGGTGACTAGAGCTGTGCTGAAGGCAGTCGCGAGGGAAGGGGACCCTGCAGGCAGTAGGAATATGGTTTGGGGGTAAACAGGAAGTACCTACAGGGAATGATTAGAATGCCACGGTTTAATTCCAATGATTATGCTCAACAAAGAGCCTGTGTGATGCTGTATGATTACATACAATTTTCCAGCTATTTGCTTGGTGTGCCTTGTCGTAGTAGCACTCCGGATAATCAATCACTACATTTGCTTCAAGGAAAATGACACTGTAGTTTGCCAAATGATGGGTATTTTTACAGGGGAAAAAAGTTCCCACTTTTCAAGAATTTAAAACAATTTCCAAATCGGTGGCTTTGACAGAGAAACGCTGAAAATATCAAATTTCTAACAAGGTCAATTCTGTTTTTATTTATTTGATCTGTGTGACACCACAAATGATTTATGAACTTATTATTAATTTTGGGATTTGCCTATGTTGAACATAATGACTTCATAATAAGTCAAACCCTGATTTCATTCATAATTTCTACTAAACACACCAGAAATGATTTATATTTGTTTAGAAACAACCCAATTCTCATTTCTTGGAACTTATTACCAGGTAATAAAGTCTGGGCATGACATGAAAAATGAGAAAAGAAGAAAACAATCAAACAAACCCATGATAGCTGATGCAATTTAAAAAAACATTTATATGAAAATAAACTAAAATTTCTTACATGGATACACCAGCCATCTAAAATAGGAAGAAAGTGTATAAGGAGCAGCTCTTTGGTTCCACACTTTTAACAAATTTAAAAATAAATGAATGAAGATATTTAAACCTTTGAGACCTTGTCCATTGTTTGTCAAAATGGGGCTCTACAGCATGATATTAGTATTATAGAAAATTGCCTCTAAGTTCAAGTACTTTGGAAAATGCTGAGTTAAAAAAAACTGAAGTGGTTTCCTCACTGGAGGACTTTGGAAACTTTTACTATGTTCATGTCATTGTGACTCTTGAAGAGGTGACTGTGGTATTCAATCTCCCCCTGACTATTTAAGCAAAGAAAGCATTTTCAGAGCACATCTTTTCACATCTACTGGAACAGTATTTCCAGAACATGGTTTGGGAGTGACTCTTCCAGTTCTCTGGTCATACTGATGAGGACACATCAGTCCTGGTAGGAGTACGGTGGGAATCCAGCTCTCTGCCGCCTCAGTCCACACCCTTTCCTACACACCCACCCCTCCGGGCTTCTCTGGAGCACCACTGAACATGCCCACCCTGCGCCCCAACCGCACTAAGTTACCAGTCATTCCTTGACCAGGTGCCCTCCTGCCTCTGTGCCTTTGAGCTTCCCACGCTCTGTGCCTGGAAGGCCCTTCCTAGCTCACGTCTCTCCTCCTTGAAGAGTCAGCTGTAGGGTGACCTGCTCTGATTTAAATGCCCCTCCTTTGTGCTATCAGAACACTTTGGGAATAATAGAGCCCAAGCCCAAAGTGGGGCTTGACAACTACTGGTTCACTTGACTGTCTCTTCCACTAAGCTATAAAATCCTTTTGTTTGGTAACTATACCTGTGTATCTGCTACTTAGTAGGAAGCTATCTGGCCTATGGTTGGTGTTCACTAAATGTTTATTAGATGAATTAATGCAAATACATAGCACATTCTGAACAGGGTGAAAGCACAGACCTTGAGTATAATTATAATGCAAAAGAGTGGGTCAAAAGCCTGACTTGGTAAGGTAGAATCAGATCACAGTCTCTATTACTGTATCTTAATAACTCCTATGATTCTAAAGACTGAACATTGTGACTAAAGTTCTTAGATTTTTCTATAAAAGCCTTCCTAATTTCACTTAATTGTATTTTTCTCTATAACAATCCATTATATATACAACTAAATGTGCTAATTTTAAAGTTTTAAGACATATACATTCATAATTCAGGAAAAACAACAACAAAAACTTCAGTCTGGAGAAGGCAACCTCTGCATGTGTGCTTTTTAGCTGCTAATGCAGAGATGGTGCAGACACCTGCAAAGAACCTAGGGTTCTGGGAAACGGCTGTATGAAGAATTTGACAGAAAATATGAGGTAAATCTGTCCATCGCTTCAGACACACTCATCCACTACTACACACATACCAGCAGCTGTGGAGGGAGGAGGCTTCACAAATGTTTGCTGACGACACGGTTACTGTTTATCGGGACATATTCAACTACAAGTCATTAACACTGGTCATACCAGATTGCCCTTCCAATTACTATCGGCTCCAAGTTGTAGTTGACTATAAACTATCATAACGACGATGACAACAGTAGTGATAGAAGCCGAAAGGAAATCTGTTCTCTCTTTTTTAATCTATATTTTGATTTGTGTGGTGTTTAAAATGTTCTGATGAGATTTACTCCTTTCAGAAACTATCTGGGAAAAAACCAGCCACCCAGAGAGTTGCTACCTGAGAAACTGCTACTTCTACTCCCTTCGGAACCATCTTCCACCTCACAAGGACCTCACGGAACTTTGAAATGTGTATGTC